AACATGTATTATTTACTTTATAAGGTGTTTAAACCCACTAATTTTTTGTAAATTATGAGATGGGAACAAACTTCATTGTCTTCCAGGTAGATAGCCATTTACCAGCTTTTGTTCCACAATTCAGCGTTTTCCAACCAAATTGCAATATAACCTTGTCCTATATTAAATGTCCATATATACTAATACTTAATTTCTGATTCATTCAATAACAAATGAGTATCTGCCATATACCAGAACATTCTAGTGACACTATATGTAATATAAGTTACTGTGTAGGTCTTTGCCAATTAAATAATTAGTCCTTTCTGATATTAAATTACTGTTATTTTGTACCTTCTTTCAGTCAATTTTCAATGTCTCCTTCAAATTCACTTAAGATAGTGTTTTTAAATTTACTATATTTTTCTGACTTTATTCCACTGACAATTTTTATTTCATAACTTCCTCTTGCTTTAATTTTTTGTATATCTTCTATACATATTCATGTACCTAAGTGAAAAAAAACAAAGACAAACAGAGCAGGTGAAGTTCCTGCTCATTTGCATCTTTTGATATAATGGTGAAGAGAGTTCAATGTAATAGGGCAGGTGCAGTGGCCCACTCCTGTAATCCCAGCACATTGGGAGGGCGAGGCGGAGTTTGCAGTGAGCCGAGATTGTGCCACTGTACTCCAACCTGGGTGCCAGAGCAAGACTCCATCTCAGAAATAATAATAACAATAATAATGCTCCATCTATACTTTTTTTTTCTTAGCATCATTCGTCCTTATCATAGGATTTGTTGCCATCTGACACAATATATGGCGTTTACATGTTTTTCTTGTATTCTCTCTCAGTCATCAGATTGTAGAGATTTTCTTACATAACACCACACACTCATTTACTAGGCAGTGCCTGAAACATATCAAAATTTACTTTATATTCCTCAAATGCATGAAAGATTTTCTCATCAGTACTGTACAGTACAGTACACTCCTTCAGGGAAAGGCTGAGAGTGGGACAGGAATTCCTAATCCAAGATGGCAAGAGGATCCCCTGGTCGGCACCAGATTCACACACAAAATACGCACAATTAACTTCCTGTAGAATGGAGGTTACCAGAGGCTGGGGGTGCTGGGAGGGTAGGTTGGGGACGTGTTGGTTAGAGGACACAAAATTACAGTTAGACAGGAAGACTGAATTCTTGTAGAATGGAGATTATCAGAGGATGGGAGGGTTGCTGGGGAGAGCTGGGGAGATGTTGGTCAAAGGATACAAAATTAAGCTAGACAGAAAGATTTTGTTCAAGAGATCTATTGTACAGCATGGTTCTAATGGTATTGTAATCATACACATAAAACCATTAATAGTAATATAATATAGTTAATAGTAATATATTGTATTTTGAAAAATGCAAAGGGAATATTAAGTGTTCTCATCAGACACAAAGACTATGTAAGATGATCACTGGCTATATTTAGCCATTCCACAGTGTAAACATACTTCAAAACATCATGGTGGACATGATAAAGACACTCTATTTTATCTGCCAACTTAAAAAAATCAACTTTAAAAAATAAAAAACCATAGATTCTTCACTGTAGGAGATCTGTAACAGCATTTCTGGTAGGTTTGTAATGCATGTGAGTGTCATGTTCTTTTCTCTTTTTGGTAGAAACATCAACCAGATGAAAGCAGGGAATGATACACAAATTTTAGAATTCCTTCTTCTGGGAATTTCAGAGAAACCAGAATTTCAGCCCTTCCTCTTTGGGCTGTTCCTGTCCATGTACCTGGTCACCGTGCTCGGGAACCTGCTCATCATCCTGGCCATCAGCTCAGACTCCCACCTCCACACCCCCATGTACTTGTTTCTCTCTAACCTATCCTTTGCTGACATCTGTTTCACGTCCACGACCATCCCAAAGATGCTGGTGGATATCCGAACAGAAAGCAAAATGATCACTTTTGCAGGCTGCCTCACCCAGATTTTTTTTTTCGTTGCATTTGGATGCCTGGACAATTTACTCTTGACCGTGATGGCCTATGACCGGTTTGTGGCCATCTGTCACCCCCTGCACTACACGGTCATCATGAACCCCCGACTCTGTAGACTGCTAGTTCTGGGGTCCTGGTGCATCAGTGTCATGGTTTCCGTGCTCGAGACCTTGACCATTTTGAGGCTGTCCTTCTGCACAAACATGGAAATTCCACACTTTTTTTGTGATGTTCTCGAAGTCCTGAAGCTCGCCTGTTCTGAAACCCTTGTCAATAACATCGTGATGTATTTTGTGACAATTGCAATGGGTGTTTTTCCTCTCTCTGGAATCCTATACTCTTATTCTCAGATTTTCTCCTCCATCCTGAGAGTATCACCTGCCCGAGGCCAGCACAAAGCCTTTTCCACCTGTGGGTCTCACCTCTCAGTGGTCACCCGGTTCTATGGCACGGGCCTTGGGGTCTATCTCAGTTCTGCAGCTACACCATCTTCTAGGACAAGTCTGATGGCCTCAGTGATGTACACCATGGTCACCCCCATGCTGAACCCCTTCATCTACAGCCTGAGGAACAGGGACATAAAGGGGTCCCTGGGGAGACTCCTCCTCAGGGCAACAACTCTCAATAAGGGGACCACTGCCAAACTCTCATGAATAGCGGTGAACACAATATTGAGGCCTTTTTTTTTTTTTTTTTTTTTTTTTTTTTTTTCTGCTTTCATGCATTTGGAGTGGGGCAGGGAAGGCGTCTCACTCTGTTGCCCAGGCTGCAGTGCAGTGGCACAATCTCAGCTCACTGCAACCTCCGTCCCCCAGGTTCAAGTGATTCTTCTGCCTCAGCTTCCCGAGTAGGTGGGATTACAGGCATGAGCCACCAGGCCTCACTGATTTTTGTATTTTTAGTAGAGGTGGAGTTTTGTCATGTTGGCCTGGCTGGTCCCAAACTCCTGACCTCAGGTAATCTGCCTGCCTTGGTCTCCCAACATGCTGGGATTACAGGCAGTAAGCCACTGCACCTGGCCTTCTTTTATACATTTTAAAGCATTTCTTCCTTTGGAAACTTTTCCTGCCCTTGCTACTGCTAATAAAGTTATGTAGGATCACCCTTTTTGACTTTCTAACCAGTAATTTTAACTTTGTATGAATATGATCTGGCATTTTCTCAGTTATCTTCAGTAATGATGGTTTTTTTTTGTTTGTTTTTTGGGTATGTTTGTTGTTGTTGATTTTGAGATGGAGTCTCCCTCTGTTGGCCGGGCTGGAGTGCAGTGGCATAATCTCGGCTCACTGCAAGCAACCTCCACTGCCCAGGTTCAAGTGATTCCTCTGCCTCAGCCTTCTGAGTAGCTGGGACTACAGATGTGCACCACCACACCTGGCTAATGTTTGTATTTTTAGTAGAGACAAGGTTTCACCATGTTGTCCAGGCTGGTCTCGAACTCCCAAACTCAAACGATCTCCCTGCCTCGGACTCCCAAAGTGCTGGGGTTTATAGGCGTGAGCCACTGTGCCTGGCCTGATTTGGGTTTAAAAAGAAAATCAAATCTGACATGTTAAATATATATTCTCAGAAGCGATGGGATATGTCCCTATTTTTGAAATGTTGCCCTGGAAACTCACTTACAGAGATGTTTTTTGAGGTTATGTGAATAAAAATAACTCAAAGAGTTCCCTCCTTTTTTATCTGATTCACTTTCCTTTCAGTCACACCAACTTAACTTCTACTCCTTCATAATATGGGTTTCTTGAATTTCAGAGCAATGACTTACCATTTTTGTAATCACAATGGCTAGCACAGCCATTGGTAAGGAGTTCATGTTTACATGCTATTTGTCAAATGGAGTAGAAAAATAGATGGTTGGATGACTAAATATAAAATAAGATCTGGACCAGAAAAATACAAATTCATTAATCTGATCAGAGCTTTTAGCCAGGCATGGTGCTGCATGCCTGTAGTTTCAGCTACTCAGGAAGCTGAGGCAGGAGAATGGCTTGAACCCAGGAGGTTGGGGCTGCAGTGAGCCATGATTATGCCACTGGACTCCAGCCTGGGTGACAGAGTGAGCCCCTGTCTCTAATTAATTAATTAATTAATTAAGTTTTGGAGCTAGAAACAGAATTCAAGGTTATTGATGTTGATTTTTTATATATGTTGAACTTTCTATTTATTTTTATTTTTATCATACTTTAAGTTCTGGAGTACATGTGCAGATCACGCAGGATTGCTACATAGGTATACACATGCTATGGTAGTTTGCTGCTTCCATCCCCCCGTCACCTACATTAGGTATTTCTTCTAATGTTATCCCTCCCCAATCTCCCCACCCCCTGCTGTCCCTCCCTTAGCCTCCCAGCTCCCAACAGACCCCGGTGTGTGATGTTCCCCTCCCTGTGTCCATGCGTTCTCATTGTTCAACACCCACTTATGAGTGAGAACATGCGGTGTTTGGTTTTCTGTTCTTGTATCAGTTTGCTGAGAATGATGGTTTCCAGCTTCATCCATGTCCCTGCAAAGGACATGAACTGATATAAGTAACACTTTATATACCAAAACAGTTTAAGAGCTTTATGTACATTGCCTCATTTCATTTCTCCAATAACTCTTTTATGTAATTAGTTTTATTTCCCATATTGACAAATAAGAAAGTAAGAGCTTATGGTAAGGAGGTAAGTAGCTCAAGGTAATGAATGTATGAGAAGCTTCAAATGCAGGGTTGTATGAATCAGACAGCTGTCCCAGGCGTTATGTTATGTTACTGTAGAGTCCTCATTAGGGAAAAGGATTCAGGCTGGCCGGACCAAGGGAAAGCAAAAAGAAGAAGCAGATAAGCTACGAGTCTGCCTTTCTTCATGGTCCCGGACACAAAGCCCTCCTGTACAAATTACTCACTATCTTCCTGCACTCAGCTATCACCAGACCCTCGGCTGATACAAAAATTGCAAGTTAGCTCACTGCAGCCTTGGCGTTATCAATACTGTACAAAGCCCTCTTCAGCACACAGCACAAGCACTGTCCTATAAAATCCCCAGCAAGCTTTTGTCTCTTTGCAGTCAGCTCCTCTATTGCTGGCCTGCCCATTGCTTCCTTGCAATGTATTTTCATACTTTCTCCAATCAATCTGCCTTTCCTTACCTACAACTGTGTTGGTAGATTCTTCTTAACCTCCACACCACCAGCCCCAGATAGTCGCCACTCACCCATGACAGTTATCTCTAGTCAAACCTTCTAATAATAATAGTCAAATCTCAAAGGAACCAGGAGTTCTCTGACATAAATTCTTACTTCTGGAATTATGCTCCCCAACAAAGAAATATTCTGTGTCTGGGGGCCGCAGCCTTAGAAGTAAATTAAACCCGACCCAGCAATCCCATTACTGGGTATATACTGAAAGGATTATAAATCGTTCTATTATAAAGGCACATGCACACATACATTCATTGTAGTGCTGTTTACAATAGCAAAGACTGGGAACCAACCCAAATGCCCATCAATGGTAGACTGGATGAAGAAAATGTGGCACATATACACCATGGAATACTATGCAGCCATAAAAAAGGGTGAGTTCATGTCCTTTGCAGAGACATGGATGAAGCTGGAAACTATCATCTTCAGTCCTCAGCAAACTGACACAAGAACAGAAAACCAAACACCGCATGTTCTCACTCATAAGTGGGTGTTGAACAGTGAAAACACATGGGCACAGGGAGGAGAACATCACACACCTGGGTCTGTCAGGGGTTGGGGAGGCTAGGGGAGGGATAGCAGAGGGTGAGGGGATTGGGGAAGGATAACATTAGGAGAAACACCTAATGTAGATGATGGGGAATGGATGGAGGAAACCACCATGGCATGTGTATACCTATGTAACAATCCTGCACGATCTGCACATGTACCCCGGAACTTAAAGTATAATAATAAAAAATAAATAAAAAAGCAAATTAAACCCATCCATAAGATTTATTGTTTCCTTTGATATTTTAATTTGACTTTCTTTGGTTGTTCATGAAAATGAGCACATTTTTGTGCTTGATCTTTTTGTGTACGATATTTTTATAGTAACTCTTTTTTCCAGTTTTACTGAGGTATAATTGAGAAATTAAAATTGTACATATTCAAGGTGTATTGTATGATGATTTGATATATGTATACATTGTGTACTGACTGACTTACGTTTATTTTTACTAAATTTTGAGTTTACCTCCTTTGATCATTCATAATTTTAGATTTTTAAAAATTCTAGTTGACTTAGTTTTTGAATTTTTATTCTTAGTCATTATGGATACATAATAGTTGTACATATTTATGGGCTTTGTATGAAACTTTTACACAAACATACTTGTATAATAATCAAATCAAGGTAATTGAGGTATCTATCGCTTCAAGCATTTATCATTTCTGTGTGTTATAAACATTCCAATTCCACCCTATTATGCTACTAAATACTAGATTTTATTCTTTCTAACTGTATTTTTGTACCCATTATCCTTTTTTAATTCTGCCTCCCTACTACCCCTCCTAGCTTCTGGTAACCATCATTCTACTCTGTTTCCATGAGTTCAGTTTTTTCAGCTCCCACATATGAGCGAGAACATGTAATATGTGTTTTTCTTGCCTGGCTTATTTCTTTTCTTGTTGTTTTGTTTTTGTATTTTTGAGATAGACTTACGCTCTTGTCACCCAGACTAGAGCGCAACGGTGAGATCTCGGCTCACTGCAACCTCCACCTCCCAGATTCAAGCTATTCTTCCTGCCTCAGCCTCCCGAGTAGCTGGGATTACAGGCACCCACCACCACACCCAGCTAATTTTTGTATTTTTAGTAGAGATGGGGTTTCACCATGTTGGCCAGGCTGGTCTTAAACTCCTGACCTTAGGTGATCTGCCTGCCTCAGCTTCCCAAAGTGCTGGGATTACAGGTGTGAGCCACCACGTCCAGCCGCCTAGCTTATTTCATTTAACACAATTTCCTGCAATTCCACCCATGTCGTGGCAAATCATAGGATCTCTCATTATTTTTTATGACTGAATAGTGCTCCATTGTGTACATGTGACACATTTTCTTTTTCCATTCATCGGTTGATGAACACTTAGTTTGATTCCAAATCTTAGCTGTTGTGAATAGTGCTGAAATAACTATGAGAGTGCAGATATATCTTTGATGTATATGTTTCCTAAATATTTTCCATAGCTTTCCATTCATCTTTTATCTTTACCGTTTTACCTGCAGATGTCTCACATGTTTGAGTCCATCAATTATTTTCTCTGTCTTCCTTTTTCTTTCTTCTATCTGGATTTCTGCTCAGAGGATTAATCTCTCCTTTTTTTCTAGAAGTCTACTGCTATTTCACATTTTTCCTCCAACTTCATTCTATTATGGTGGTTGATGTTAAGACAGGAATTTAACATGATTTTGCTCCCCAATTAATAATGAATTATCCAAGTACCAGTTTTTCAACATCTTTTCTTTCCTCGTTGATTTTTTTTTTTTTTTTTTTGAGACGGAGTTTCACTCTTGTCGCCCAGCCTGGAGTGCAATGGTACAATCTCAGCTCACTGCAACCTCCACCTTCTGAGTTCAAGTGATTCTCCTGCCTCAGCTTCCCAGGTAGCTGGGATTACAGGTGTGCACCACCACACCTGTAATTTTTGTATTT